ATCTTGTAGCTCAATCCAGCTATGAGCTCACGACCTTAAAACAACTTTTCACCAATTTGCTCCTTATGCTCTCCTAATCGTTCCCATGTAAGTATCCTTGCTTTTGCATGCTCCATTTAGCTCCAATGTAGCTCCCAAGTGTTGGTCGAATGTGCCTACATGCATAACATAAAGAAATAAACTACGTAAATGAAGTTATATAATGTATATTATAAGAATGTGAACTATAGTATATTATGATAACTTATATTTCACATATTAATGGATAAGTTATCTTAATAATAACTATAGATATAATATATGTAGATGAAAATAACTATATTAAAATATTTGAAATAAGCATATATATGTGTAAAGTTAGAAAGTCTCTTCCCTTGTAAGGGTGGAATATCCATGATGCTGAATTGGATCACATCATCTTGCCACGACCAAACATGGAAATCCAAATTGGTTATTTCTATGTTGGGTCTTTACATCTCTGTACTTTCTTTTAAGAGAACCTGCTTCATCTAGCTTAACCTCTGACAGCACTCGTAGTGACATAATCTCAACCTTGATGGGTAACACATCCTCCATCCCATAAACTAAAGAAAACAGAGTTGCCCCAGTGGACGTCCTCACTGAATTTCGATAGGCAAACAGAGCGAATGATAGCTTCTTATGCCAGTCTATATAAGTCTAAGTCATTTTATGTATGAGCCTCTTGATATTCTTATTGGCTTCGTCTACCGCTCCATTCATCTTTGGGCGATAAGTGGTGGAATTATGATGTTTAATCTGGAACTGTTTACATACTGACTCCCTCATCTTATTGTTTAAATTCAAGGCATTGTTGGTAACGATCCTTTCCGGTAGCCCATACCGACAAATAATTTCTCTCGTCAAGAACTTGCAAACTGTTGACTGAGTGACATTTGCATAGGAGGCCGCTTCTACCCACTTAGTGAAGTAGTCTATTGCCATAAATATGAAACGATGGCCATTAGAAGCATTGGGTGAAATTTACCCAATGACATCCATGCCCCACATAGAGAATGGCCACAGAGCAGTCATTACATGTAATGGATTAGGAGGGGTGTGGAGCTTATCTCCATAAATATGGTATTTGTGACATTTTCTGGAGAAATTGATACAATCAGTTTCCAGGGTTGACCAATAATATCCAAATCTCATTATTTGTTTAACCATTGCATGTCCATTAGCATGGGTACCACATATATCACCATCAAGCACATATCCTGCCGCCATTCTTTGAATAGTTCTTTTGTCATTCCCAGTGGCATGCTCAGGGTAGCTTTGATATTTAATGTATTACAAGATGTCGTAATACCAGGGATTTCCATCATTTTTCTCTTCTATACTATAGCAATGGGCTGGATACCAATAAGCTTGTATCGTAATAGGCATCATGCCTACAAGATGTCGTAATACCAGGGATTTCCATCGTTTTTCTCTTTTATGCTATAGCAATGGGCTGGATACCCATAAGTTTGTATCGTAATAGGCATCATGCCTGAATATTCATTGACTTTGAAAGTTGCTGCCAAAGTGGCCAGAGCATCCGCCATTTGATTCTCTTCTCTAGGTAGATAATGGAATGTCACCCTCTCAAATTCTTTAATGAGCTCTAGGACCAACTTATGGTATTCCACCAACTTCGTATCCTTTGTTTACCATTCACCTATGAGTTGATAAATTACCAGGGATGAATCCTCGTATACTTCGAGTATTCTTACTTCATGCTCAATGGCAGCTCTAAGACCCATAATACATGCTTCATACTCGGCCATGTTATTCGTACAATCAAAATTCAATCGGCTAGTGGAAGGATAGTGTTTTCTACCAGGTGAGATGAGAATTGCCCTAATCCCGTGCCCCAAGGCATTCGAGGCACCATCAAAATTCATCTTCCACTATTTATTAGTAGAGGAAGCTGCCTCCACTGTTGAAAAAACCATTTAATCTTCTTTTGGAAAATCGAAGTTCAGTGGTTCATACTTTTTAGAAGCCCTACTTGCAATGAACTCGGCCACATCACTTACTTTAACTGCTTTTTGTCTTACATATTGGATGTCAAATTAAGACAATAAGATTTTCCAACGAGCTAATCTTCCAGATAAAGCAGATACACCCAATAGATATTTCAGAGGATCAAGTTTAGATATCAGCCAAGTAGTGTGATACATCATATACTGCCCGAGCCTTCGGGTAGTCAAAACTAAAGCACATCACAACTTTTCTATTGGTGAGTACCTCGTCTCAAAATCAGTGAACTTTTTGCTGAGGTAGTAGATTGTTCTTTCTCTTTTCTCAGTTTGGTCATGTTGCCCTAATACGTACCCCATTGAATTCTCAAAGATTTACAAGTAGAGGATTAATGGTTTACCTGATATTGGTGATATTAAGACTGAAGCATTCGACAAATATCCTTTTATTTCTTCAAAAGCTCCTTGCCAATCATCGTTCCACACACTTGGGTTATTTTTACGGAGAAGGTGAAAAATGGGATCGCACTTCTCAGTTAATTGCAAAATAAATCATGCAATATAGTTTAATCTTCCCAAGAATCCTCTAACTTCTTTTTGTGTTTGTGGGGGTGGTAAATCCTGAAGAGCTTTGACCTTGTCAGGATTTATTTTAATCCCTTTTTTCTTACTACAAACCCCATGAGTTTTCCCGATGTTACCCCGAATGTACACTTGCTTGGATTGAGTTTTAACTGCATTTTCTTAATCTTTGGAAGAGTTTCCTCAGATTCTCGATGTGTTCTTCCTCCATTTTAGCTTTAACAATCATATCATCGACATATACCTCTATTTCCTTATACATCATGTCATAGAATAGTGTTACCATGGCCCTTTGATAAGTTGCCCATCCATTCTTTAGCCCAAATGGCATCACTTGTAACAGAACATGCCCCATATGGTGACAAACATAGTCTTTTCCATATCATCTGGATGCATCTTTATTTGATTGTAACATGAAAACCCATCCACAAATGAAAATAGAAAGTGTCCAGCCATATTGTCCACAGGGGTGTCTATGTGTGGCAGAGGGAAATTATCTTTCGGACTGGCACGATTAAGATCTCTTTAGTCGATGCACATGCGGACTTTGTCATCTTTCTTTGGTACTGGAACAACGTTTGCTACCCATTCTAGATATTTGGCTACTTTCAGGAATCCAACATTGAATTGCTTATTTACTTCTTCTTTAATTTTAAGCAGCATTTCAGGTCTCATCCTTCTGAGCTTTTGTTGTACCGGTCTACATTCGGGCTTTATTGGAAACTTATGTACAACTAACTCAGTATCTAAACCTGGCATGTCCTCATATGACCAAGTGAACACATCTTTGTACTCTCGAAGTAGATCAATCAGACTTTGGCGTCCTTCAGCAGATATGATGGTGCTAATTCTTATCTCCTTTTTATCTTCCTCTGATCCCAGATTCAAGATCTCAATGGGCACTTCATGAGGCAAAAATTGTTTATCCTCTCTCTCTACCATTTTTAGTAGTTCATAAGGTAAGTCACTTCCCTCATCATTATCATAACCTCCCACTTCCCCTTGACATATGGGCAGCTCGAAATCTATCTTCAGGTCAGAGTCATTAGCATTCATACTATTGATACTAGAGGTCCTGAAAGAATAAAAAATGAGAGGATATATATATATACAAATAGAGGAGAATCTATCCCATATCAAAATAGAATGAAATAATAATATATAATGAATAAATAAAGAAAAAAAATGCAAGGGGGGATGTTTGTTATTTCGTGAATTAACATGAATGCATCATTTATTAAAATAAAAAACAGATAGATTAACCCCTTATAGAAGATCACATATTGTCCCGGGTTATAGATAATAGGGAAAGTTTTTGTGCATTACTCTAAAACAGTTTTGTAAACTACAAGTAATTCTTCTGCAGTCCAATTGTTTAGCACAAAGCCGCCCATAGCCATTCCGTATTCGATTCTTTCCTCCAATATCACATTTATATCCAAATCCCTTAGGGCATTTTCAATAACAGACTCTTTAGATGATCGACCCCCTGAAACATGTGGCCCTCTGATATGAAGGTGTCATGCAGAGGTGGGAAAATCATGGGCTCCCACTTAATATCCTCCCCGGCTAACCTGTCTTTCCTATTTTCCTGGCTCTTTTGAACATTTTTCAATTTTTCCTTTAAGGTCGGGAGATATCCCATACCAAAACTATCTCGCTTAAAACCGAGAAAAATTGGACTAATATTCCCCTGTAAACGACTCCCTAGCCCTCTTATAACCTTGGCTCCTTTTCCCAAGGTCATTTTCAGTTCCATTTTGGTACAGTTGGTTAGCCTAGGCCTTGGAATTTTCTTTCTTTCGGCAAAAAAAGTGGCATTAATAAATTCTAGGGCTATAAAAGAGCACTCCACCGCATCTTCATCTACTTCAACATATGGAGTGGTAGTAGATATGGAAGCAATGATATCTTCCTCGACATTAAGGCATACGAGTCTCCCCTCAATTACAAATTTGAGTTTCTGATGCATAGTGGATGGCACGGGTCCTGCCTAGTGGATCCAAGGCCTTCATAACAAACAGTTATAGGAGGGCATTATATCCATTACAAGAAATTCAACCTTGTAGGTTGATGGGTCTATGGTTAAAGGAATATCAATCTTCCCCAGTACCTTCTTCTTTGTTTTGTCGAAAGCTCAAATAATGCTTTGGCAATTTCTTAAGTGTGTACTATCAACTGACAGTTTCTTCAAGGTCACTAATGGTATCACATTCAGGACAGAGTCGTTGTCGATTAGTACTCGTGATAACACATGACCCTTGTACCTGATGGTAATGTGCAGGGCTTTAGGATTGCCCATCATTCCGGACGGGATCTTATGATCAGAGAAAGAGATGAATTTATCCGCCTGAATATTTGTAACCAATCGGTCTATACCACTTGAACATCTTTCGGTACGAAAGTCTGATTCAAGACTTTCAGCAAGGCATTTCAATGTGCCTCAGAGCTTAATAGTAGAGCCAAAATCGAGATATTAGCTGGCAACTTGTGTAGTTGTTCTACGATGTTGTACTCACTATGCTTCAAAAATTTTAAAAACTCCACAGCCTTGTTCTCAGTTACTGGCTCCTTAATTCTTGTCTCATCATCTTTCAGCAATATCTCAACCCTTTTCCCTTTTTTAACGGCCGCTCTTTTCTCGGGTTCACTTGTCTGGTTGGGAGAATAACATCTCCCACTTCTAGTGAAGTGGCCTACCTCATCCACCTCTTCCATAGCAACCTCTGAACTCTCAACATTCTCTAGTTGGCATCCATACCTCCAAGGGACATGCTTGTTGTCCTTATAAGGAAAGGACGATGGAGGCATGATCACTACTTTAGGTATTAACCTTTCTATAGTCTGGGCTTTCGGTGTGATGACTAAAGGGCAGTTAGTATTGTAAAGTCCCTTGGATGTGCCTTCGGAAGCACAAATCTCTACCTCTTTCTCTTTCGTAGCTTTATGGTAGAATTCCATGTCTTTACTATCCATCAGCCTTTGAACCAAGTCCTTAAACTCATCACAGTTTTGAAAGACATGATCGTCGCAACTGTGGTAGGGGCAAGCATGCTTATTCTCGTTAGCATTAAAGGTCAACCAGCCTACTTTGACCATTTTCCCCCATACCCAATGCATGGGCGACTTCACTTCATTGACTCTAGTTATAACTCCGTTCCCTCTTCCTTCAATAACATCATTAACCCCTGTCCTTGCATGGTTCGATAATGGGTTCTGAGCCACATTGGGCTGCTCACTGTCACCGAAGTTGATGACATTTCTTTGTATTAATCTCTGCACCAACTTTTTAAAGGCCATACAGTTTTCAATTGAATGCCCCGATGCCCCCGCATGATACTCACATTGAGCATTGATGTCAAACCATTTTGGGTAAGGAGGCTGCATTGGAGAAGTGTGGTAAGCTGACACCACATGTTTGTCGTACAAGATCTGGAATAGTTCTTTATAGGTCATAGGGATGGGGTCAAATTGAACCCTTTTATTTTCTTGTCTTGGTTGTTTCGCCCCTTGCTTAACAGGATTTGGTGCAGACGATGTTGTGGCTTGAGGTCGGGATACTGTAATGTTATTAGAATCATATTTCTTCACATTACTGACCTCATTATCCTTTCTTCTTGCTGGAGGCTTTCGGATAGATTCTCCCCCGTCTAGCTTCCCGCCTTTGATCGCCATCTCAATCATTTCTCCTGCGTTGACTATATCACTAAAATTATTGGACCAATTTCCAATGAGATGTCCAAAGAATGGGGCCCTTAGAGTATTTACAAAAAACTTATTAGTTTCCTCTTCTTCTAACGGTGGATGAACTTGCACAGCTATATCTCTCCACCTTTGGGCATACTACCTGAAACTCTCGTTGGATCTTTTTTCCATACTCTGTAACAGAATTTGGTTTGGCCTCACATCTTTTACGTTTTTATATTTCTCTAGAAAAGCCTTAGCCAAATCCTTCCATGATTTAATCTGAGTCCGACTTAGTTGATTGTACCAATGGATTGCTGGACCTGCCAGGCTCCCTTGGAAATAATGAATTAATAGTTGACCGTCTCTCAGAGAGCCTGTCATTTTCTGTAAAACATGGTAATATGTGCAGAATGAAAACTGGTACCATCAAATTTCTCGAAGTTTGGAACTTTGAACTTTGGTGGCAGCACTAAATCAGGGACCAAACTTAGCTCTTTGGCGTCGATTCCATATAGGCTAGCATCTTCTTTCATAGATCAGAATTCAGGCTTCATTTGTTTCCATTCTTTCTTAAGCTCTTTATCATGTTCTTTTTTGTCTTCCTCATCCAAATTGGGGACGTCTTTAATTGGTTGAGGGTTTATAGAAGAGCCAGGTAAGTTCACTTGTATTCTTTCTGATTGTGCACTTGCTATTTTTTGTGCTTTAACATGAGGTGGTGTAAAGCCTGGGGGTATAGGGGTTCTTCAGAGGTAATACCAATAGTTGGAGCTGTAACACCAATAGTTGAAGCTTTTCCATGTTCCACTTGTGGTACGAAACCCTGGGGGTACAAAGGTTATTCGATAGTAGCACCGATAGCTGGGGTGTCTTCTCGTTCAATATTTTTTCCTCATAACATGCTTGCAAGTTTCTCCATCAAATCATTCTAGGATTTTATCATTTGTTCACGCATCTCCTCCTAAACTTTCTTAAAGCTCTCTTGCATGTCAAGCTGAGTTTTTTCGATTTGTGCGATCTTGTCTTCCATTTTCTTAGTTGACTGACGAGTACCGTATGAGTGTGAGGTGTATGCCAGAATAACTACAAATGATTGGAAATTGTATTTTATTATCTGATGAATTTTAATGAATGAATTATTATAATGTAATCATTAAGATTTTGAAAATTTAGAAAAAACATATGAAAATACAAATGCAAATGCAACCCGATATTGATTCCAAAATAACTTAGTTTATATAAAAAATACTCAACAACGTACAACGTCTAAGCACTTAGGCAAAGAGATTATATCGACATGAATACTAAATGTAGAATCTTTCCATATTCCCTAATCTCTCAAGCTCTATTATCAATCCAATGATGCGTCGTTATTCCTCTGATTCTGGAATCATGAAAACTATTAAAGTTGTCGCTTCTTCAGATAATTCATAGACTTGGCAAGCTATATCGTGGGCCTGATCCACTACTCTCTCCATTGCTTCATGTTGCTTTTGAATGATGTTGTGAGCCTGCCGTAGAGCAATTCCAAGCTCTGGATTAGTTAATAGTTGCATCTCTTCTAGTTGTTGGATTCGTTGATGACATCTATGCACTATGACTTCTAACTCAATAATCTTGGCTTCTAAGGCCTCGTTTTCTTGCATGGTTTCCTCTTGTACGGATGAGTGGATTAACCCTGCTCCTTCTAGCTCCGCTATCTTATTCTTTAACATCTCATTTTCTTTTTGAAGACTGTTGTAAGGGTTTCAAAAAGTCTCATCGATACTAAGCAGCTGTGCTTCGAGCTTTTCAATCTGTGCTCGTCTTTGTGCTAATTCTTTGTTAGCGTCATCTCTTTGCTCTCTCAGTTTCTGAGAGTGTTGTAGGGCTAGTTTCTTTTTTTCTTGGCCTCTTCTTGCACTTCTTTCTACCCTATCGAATTTTATCTTTAGAGTCTTGGCAGTCTCATATTCTTCTCTAAGGCCCAAAAATATTGGTTTAGCGCATCAAAATTCTCCTGGACCTTCTCTTTCTCCTTGGCCAATTGTTTTATCACTCCGACCTTCTTAATCATTTCGAGTTCCCATATTGTCTTCTCATCCGAGAAACTTCTCTAATATTTTTCTCTCTCCAGATTCATCAGTCGCATTTCCTCTTTTAACAACTCTGCTTCTATCGAGAGCCTCCTCAATTGCTCCTCCATAGTTAACTTATATTCTAAATTTGGCTTAGGTGTGCTGTTGTTAATTCTCTGTGACCTCCAAACCTCATAGGCCGGCGTGAATACAGGCTCTATCATCTTGAAGCTCATGCATTGAGGCTTATACCAAGTGACGTAGATCTTTAAAATCCACTCTCGGTAAACCGGAGTAGAGAAAGAAAACTCCGCCTCTTTTAGGCCGTGAGTAGTTTGTACGAACTGTCAGTTACCGAACTGTCTAAGTAAAATTAGCGGAGTATACCCGATCGCTTCCCATAATCTGTGCAGCATTATAAATTTATCATTACCGCACCTAGAAAGTATGTCCTCTTTGGGTAACCAGTAAGCCTTCCATACTATCTCAATATCTTTCATGTTACGGAGAGCTTTAACCCAGTATTTCCTCTTGCGATGCTCTGGGATTTGGCATTTGTCGAGAAAATCCACTAGAGGTAAAAAATTTGATTGATATCTCCGATCCCAGCCTTTCTCGACTATCCAAGAGTGGCTCCACCACCAAACCAGTAACAGTGAGACACATCTGGCAAATTGACCTCCCCCCAATCGTCTACACTGGTTCAGTGACAAGAATGTTTCCGCAAGAATGGCTGGTGTGGGATTCTTTCTAGTGATAGCTTCGATGAAATCGTTGAAGGCGATGTCAAAGTGATCCTCATTCCTGGGAAAATTACCAAACCATATACTGCAAGTGCGAAGTGATCTCTTCTTCTTTTCGATGGAGTTTGCTCCAAGAGATCCCCTCATCACGAATGTACTCTTCAACCCACTCTGTGGTCTTTCCCGTCATCTTGATCATCTTGGTTATAAACCCTTTAGGTCGGATTGCCTTGGTGTAAATGGAATGTCTTCTAACATTCAGCATGGTCATCAAAGTCGTATACTCCTCTAAGGTAGGGGTCATGTCTACTTTACCGAAAGTGAAACACCTGTAAGCTGGATTCCAACACTCGGCAAGGGTTCGAACAACCACTAAATCTATTAGTACTCTCAGCAGCTCTACGCTGCCGTCATATATCCCTCTGAACAGTATCTTGTTATTATCATCCCAGGTGGACCAAATTCTTGATAACTCAGCCCAGTGTACTTGTCTGACTCGGTTAATTACCTTTTCTGGCAAAACTGAATCTTCGATAGTGACAAGGCTATCCCCAAAACGTGTCTGCCCATATTCAGACCAGGTCTGAACACTGATTGCATTCTCAGTCCCATCGGAAGACATTGTTGCCTTAAGTTTTTTTTATAATAACTAGGTAATCCGGGAATCAATACTGTTTATGAAATGATGTGATATGATAATGATACATGCAATCAGGAAACAAAGAAAATAAGTTAGTGATATTAGAATAATTCAAAAAAATATAAAAGAATAATTAGTAAAAAATTAAAGTATCGAATGTGAAATAATCAAAAAATTTAAAATCCTAATATCAGGCAATCTAGTTCTTCTAAGTTATCTGCATGGCTTTAACGAGGTAGGCTTACTAAATTCTTTATATGAGGTTGGATTCTAGCAAAGGGTTCCCAAGCCATATTTACAACCTGCTAAGGTTGCCTCCGATTATGGCCCTTTATAGACTTGCGAATCGGGTTCAACTCAGGGGATCGCACCACTAAAAGCGTATCTCAGATCTGGTATCCGGATAGGAAATTTAGGATGCTTTCTAGAGATACTTTGTCAGACCCACATAAGGAAGCCCAATGCTCCTCGTGAGGTGTGACGTTTCTATCTACTTAGGTAAATCGGGTTGAGCTCGGGTTAGAGCTTATGATATACAACAGTCCTAAATAGTCACGGAAATGTAATCATTAACCAGAGAGAAAATCTATTTTTTCTTTTGAAATAACATAATGAACCATAAATTAAATAAGATCGAACTCGTAATTTCTAAATAATAAATATGGGGTAATCAACTCGTCACTTGACTCTCAATTTGTTTAAGAAAAACAAAGGTCCCCAGCGGAGTCGCCAAGCTGTCGTCACCATTTTTCGCCCAGGCGGGGAAAGACAGATACAGACTCGGGGTTTTCTCTTTGAAAATATTTAAAAATGTGAAGAGTCGCCACTAATCATTTAAGGTGAGATTGGAACACCATAAAAAACCGGGTGATTCTAATAAAACATTTTATTTTAATAAAATATCGAGTTTTAGAGTCTGTGAAAATCTAGAAATCAGGTTTGAGAGTCGGTTATGTGTGGGGCAGGATTAGCACCCTCACAAGCGCCCAAAAATTGGTACCTAGTTGATTACCCTATATTTAAAATTAGAAATTTTGAGTTCGATCTTTATTTAATTTAAAAATCATTAATGATGCAAAGTTGAAAAGGGTATTCGTTTATTGAGACCGATAGCATTCACCCCCGAGCGTAAATGCGGGAGTTCAGCTGCTGTATCTAATAACCGAACATTGCCTTATTTTTCGAAAACCATGATGCAATTTTGAAAAGGATGCCGACTTATTTAGGGAATTACCAGCAGTCACCCCTTGAGCACAATCGCGGAGGATATACTATTAACTCCTTAATAAGTGAACAATGCCTTAAGTTTTAAAAATAATGCAATCAATCAAAATTTTATTTAATCCTAATTATACTAAAAATAAATTAAGACTTTTTCTAACCTACGGTGTCAAATTATGAAAATTAAAGAACCTAGGGGCTCAAGCCTAAGAACTTAGGCTCTAATATTAATCATGTTTGATTTTAATTAATTATTGAATCGAATAACCAAGATGGTCCCTCGAGCGTTTACGCGAGGGCCGACTCGAATTATCCCTTAAATTAAAA